AGTCATAGTTCGGGGTGCCCGCCGCAGTGGCGCAATGGTAGATTCCGGAACACTTTTTTAACTCGGGATCGGCGATCTCTCAACTAATCTCTGATTTTACTCACATTGGAGTCCCACCAAGTGGAGCAGAGCCTCAACGCCAAATGCCCCATAGGAGTTTTCTTGAAGTTGCATTTGGAGTCTCTGCGATAGAGCCCTGGGGGAATGAGGGAGTGCCCGAACCGGAAGGCGGCGCTTTGGAAAACATGCGTGATACCTGGATGGACGTTCTGCTGGTACCCGGTATACCGTGGCAGAGCCTCGCCAAGGAACGCGGGCAGATATTCGTACAGGACGATGTTCTGCAACAGAGCAACGCTCCATTAAAGACCACGCAGATGCCAGCCAATGGCAGCAAAGGAGACTGAGTGAAAACTTCGAAATTATACTTGCAGCGTTGCGACCACGACTCGGCGAGCCTTCTGGAAAACGTCTTCGTCGCTCCATGCGGGGTTCGTGCGCTGGATGCGCTCGGCCATCACGTTGTGCCAACGGAAGAACAGAATCCCTAGGGTGAGCAGCGCGGGGTTTTGGTTGGTGCGCGGGTCTCCCAGCACTGAAACCGCAGCGTTCATTGGCGGCGATCGCCCCCTACCGATCTCCACTTACTGAAGAGCTTCTCGGTGCTTTGCATCTTCATCATATGGGGGGCGGGGCTGTTGAATAGGGGCACCTTTTTGTAGTTGCGCAGCGGCATTTTCCCAGTGGCGTCCGTCAGGAAGGAGCCATTCACAAAGGAGCGCATGGCGTTCGTCCAGGGTTCGCTCGAACTGTAGATGAAGCTGCCGTCGATCCAGCTGCTGGCGCGGTTCACCTAGGGAAATGAACCAGAGGTAAGTGCATTCCAGTAGCTTTAATCGGGGGCCGTTTTCACCTGTTCCCTAGGGCTATTAGGGCTCTGCCCAGTCTCCCTATCATAACTAGCGCGATGGAACGGAATGTACCGGTTCCCTTTGCACTCCTTGTCGTACATTTCGTCGCACTTTTCAATTTCAATGTGATGCATCTCGATGGGGCAGCCGCTCTCGCTGGCCATCACCACCTGAAAGGCCCAGATGAAACCATCAGATCCCCCTAGCCCGGGCATGAACCCATTTTGTTCTACCTCAGATGTGACCAGTTGCCCGAAGAAAGCCAGCAAAGCCGTCCGATTGGTCAGGGAAGCCAGCCCATCGATTCCCTTCATAAACAGTCGGCTGAGCTTTCGGGGGCTGGGCCTGTTCTGGCCTGAGAGCATGTAGACGCCATCAGAGTAGGCAGGAGGCGCTCTTCGGATCAGATGACTATCTGCATCAGGCAAAGGTACGTTGATTAGTCAATTAATTCAGCGTTCGTAGACGGTCTGTCGTCTGTAGGACACAGCACTGAAGATGTTGGGTGTGCAAGTGAAACGTCGGCATCAAGAGCACAATAGCGCGAAAGTCAGCAGTTTTGATAATCTGATAATTAAAATCCTGCTGCTTAATTAATCCGATGGCAGCCAGTAGAAAAAATCGCTCACGATTATTTTTCAATCGCGAAGCAACAAAGCCCACATTTTCAGCCAATTACGTAAGAGAGGATTCGAATCGGGGCCTCCATAAATCTATGGACAATTAGTGTAATGATTGCGAAACGAGGCTAATTACGACCTTCCCATATTGTGCTGATGGGATCTCGTAAAGTTGCTCGATATCCATCTGGGAACGTTGTTAAGACGTCCGCTCGGCTGGCGTGCACTTGGATTAATTAACAACTACGCCCACACCAATCTAGTGGAAACGGATGCAATGAAGATAAATGCTAGTGATTTAACTGGGCTGTTGGTTCCAAATGGATTTTTTTTTGTTGGCGACTAGGCAATTGGTTTTTCAGGATTTTGGTTGGGCTGAGAGTATGCGATTGAAGAAGCCCCGGATTTTCGCGTTTTAACGGGTTATACGAGACTCCATCGCCAGTATTTCCATGGAAAAATTGCGCATGGAATAGTGAATCTTGCAAATGTCGAAATGCTTGGAACGTTTTTCGAGAGATGTGATCATCTCTCTCATTTCTTGATAGAAATTGTTAAGTTTTGCAATTTTTCTTTCTAAAAGTTTGGAATTTCTGCTGAAGCGTAATTAGGAAAATTGAGATTTCTAACTTTACTAGAATTTTCATAAGACCGTTCTCGAGTTTACAACACTGTTCAATAGATTATTGCGATTTGAGCCACAGGGTGGTGTAGCTTAGAGGGTCGCAAATATTCAATATTTTTGCTTATAACTTCCAAACCATAAGGAATTTTTGAAGATCTCTTAAAGGAAAAAGGCAGTTCTCGAGCTTCTCTATCAAAGTGATCCTATTGATTATCGCAATATTTTCAACCGTTTCTGAGATACAGGGTGTCTTAGCTTGGGCAGTTGCAAATAT